ACCAATTCTGATTAACATATATTTAAAGCCTGTTGTGCCATTCTGTTCCAAGCACGAAAGGTGAATTGTGGTGCCTGCTCTCAAAGAACTCAGTGTTCTTCAAGAAAAAATGGTGTCCCAAAGAGATCAGTGTGATGTCAGGAGCCTGGTTCTCACTGAACATTATCGGAGGCTTCACAAGAGGCCATTTTTTAACATGAAAGTCAGAGAAGGCTCCTGGTAGAAATGAGATAATCTGCTCTAATTACTAGGGGATTTGGGAAGCATTAAGGGAAAGGGTTCCACTCCGAGGAAATGATGCACATATTGGACAACTACAAGTAGTTTGACACATTAGTTTTTTAAAATAAATTAAAAATTGGCTGATGAGTTGAAACAGTAGCCCAAGATCAAGTGATGTGGCTGTTTCCTGCCAGTTTAGGAGTCTGAAATTTAAAGGATTAGCCCATTAGTGAACTTCATGAGATCTGTGTACTCCCTGAAGTTGTTTGCAAAGTTCTGAGAATATATTCCATTTATTGAACAAAGGTCGACAGTTTTTGTTCTTAGTCTTCTTCTTGTTGTTATTGTTGTTATGTACCGTTGAGTCTGAAACAACTCATAACTTACCCTCCAGTGGGTTTTCAGGGGTTGTAAATCACATGAGAGGAGATTGCCGATCTTTCTCCAACAGAGCAACTAGTGGATTCACACCGTTTACCTTTGGATTGTGAGTACAACTTTTTATCTCTAGACCACCAGAGCTCCAAAAATTAATCAATTGAACCATCCAAAATATATTCACACAATGAAATACTGTGACTGTGCTGCACTGAAAAGAATGAAGTCATGAAACAATGCAACGTGGTGACTCTCAAGGACATTATGCTGGGTGAAATGTCTTAGTCTTAAAAGGACAAATACTGCATAACACTGCTGTTAAGAAACAGGACTGACATGGAGACTTGGGAAGATAATAGAAAGAGAGTAGATAGATAATGAATACTGTATTCAAACAGATGAGGGAGGGAACTGTTTAAAAGGAATATGCGAGGAGCTCTGGTGGCCTAGTGGCAAGTAGCTGCACTGCAATCCCAGAAGGTACGCTGTTTGAATCCACCAGATGCTCTGCTGGAGAAGGAGGGGCAATCTCCTCCTGTACCAGTCAGATCTGATTTGACGGTACACACACACACACACACACACACACACACACAAAATTAAAAAGGAATCTACAAGTAGACATTATATGTAAGAGAGTGGGTCCAGAATAAGATGTACATTACAAAGAGGACTGGGGGAGGGAGAGGGGAAGGGAAGAAGGAGGAAATTGTGCAACAGTGAATGAATATTTTTTTAAAAATAGGGAAGTAAACTGGAGGAGGAAAATGTGCAACAGTGAATCAATGAAAATCCAACTTTTCTGAAACTTTGATTAAAATCACAATTAAAATAAAAGGTTTTTTTTTTAAAAAACCACTCTAAAATGCATTCAAATGAATTGTCCTGAAAAGTGTTAAGCAAGTGAGAGAAGAGAATACAGCACACAGAAGGAGAGAGTGACTCACCTACGATTACATAGCTAAATTCCTCTCTCAGCTGATGATGATCTTGGGTTTTCTACCTTGCTGAAATCTCTATCTCCTTAGTAATCAATGAAACTGATTACTTTTTCCATGATCAGAGTTGCAGGTGCTTCTCTTTCTTTTATCTTCTAGTGAACAGAAATACAGTTTTTTAAATACCTGGTAAAAATGTTTTGTTCTGAGTTTACAATATCTTTAATTTTTTTTAAACTTTACTTGGAGCCTGAAAACATCTGAGAAGTGAATTCTCAGGAGAACAAGATTTCTTATCTTCTTCTGCCTAAGCTGAAAATATTGCTAGACCAGCAGTTCTGTTTCTAAAACAGTCCAAGGTCTGCAGGCTTACCGAAGTGATGAGTGTAAAAAGAAATTAGCTGAGTGCTTTACTTCATTTGCGTTGTAGTTCAAAGGTAGAGTTTAAAGAGAGGCTGAATGGGCCTCTCTTTGCCATACTTAAAATCTACAGAATGTGAGAGGCTCAGGAGGGTAGCAATTCTGAGCATAGGTACCGGAGTCAGGTGATCTGCGTTCAACTCCCCAAGTTCTCCATCTCCCACTTTGTGGTCTTGCAAAGAGGATCCTTCTCAAAGTCTTCTCCTTATTTGCAGAACAGAAATAATGATATTTCTTAAGAAAAAAAATTAGTAAGACAATTTTATAAAAGGATGTATCATGAGAGTTCAATGCTGTAAATAGAAACCACCCTAGGTATTTCCAGAAAATAATCAGGAAAAATCATTGGAGGCACTCGAAGGTAAAGCCAGGGTGATAGCATAGACCGCTGATGACTGTAACTACCAACTGGAATTCAGGCTGTTGCTCATGCGGTCACCGCAGCCCCAGCTGCTGGCACAACGACCTCTCCCAGTAATGAAGCTGATGGCAGGACACTGAAACCAGAGTGCAGCCACTGCACACACTCAGGTCTCTGACTTGCTTGCCAACATTCACGGTACTGAGAAGATGGTCTGTGTCTCACCTCCGTTTTCCATATATCACATTAACGCAATTACTTTTTTTTCATTTATTTTATATTGGTTTGCATACAAAATCCGTATATATGTGTTTTGTTCACATTGTGTTTTATACGGTCATTCCCATACATTGTGGTTTTTTAAAATTTTATATTGATTTACTTAACGGTTTGAATACATTGTTTCTCACACACGATCTTTCCCATTTCCTTCACACACACCCACCACTCATCAATTGTGCAACCCTATGCTTAAGACACCCCCCCCCCATCCACACCCCTCTGCTTATTAATGTTTCTTGTTAGGTGCCATCCAGGTGACTCTGATTCCTCACATCCCTGTGAACATCATATCTACACTTTGGCTTATCCTGTGCCGTTCTTGTGATGTTAGCCATGCTCCAGCTCATGTTGCAGCCCCTGTTTCAGTCCACTGGAATAGTTTTCCTCTCTTGGGCTGACCCTTCACCTTTCCTAGTATTATATCATTTTCCAAGAACTGGTACCTCCTGGCAAAGTTTCATCATGCTTGCTTTCACGGAGCACTCTGACTGTACTTCCTCCAAGACAGATTTATTTGGTTTTTTGTTTGTTACTGTTGTTAGGCGCCCCTGAGTCAACAGCACATAGCAACCCTATAAATAACAGATCTGAATCTTACCTTTCGGTTTTCTAACTCCAGCCCTGTGCACATTTCGTTATACTACTTTGCTTTATGTACTCAAAACTCCCCTTTGAAATCTCTTCATCTCTTTTACTTCAGCATGTCTTCTGTTTCGGCCTCTTTACATTCTGGTGTAATTATTTTTCTTTTTCTTTTTTTATTAATTTCAGTGAACATTTACAGAGATTTTGGATTTCCATTCATTCACTGTTGCACTTTTCTCCCTGCCCACCCCACTCCCACCCCCAGTTTGCTACTCTCCTTGAAAAGCAAAACTCCTTCATTGGTATACAATCTCCCCCACCCCCCCACCGCCACCCTAAGTATACTCCACTCTGCATCCCTCATTCCAAACTCTTATGATAATCATAGTGCCCTAAAATATATTACTTTTAAACTGTTCTCTCCCTCATCAGCGTCAATGCAGTATACATAATTTATCCAGTTTTTCTCAGTCTTACCCCCACCCTGATGTCAGTCCTATTTTATAACAGTGGCACTATGCAGTATTTGTCCTTTTGTGACTGAGATATTTCACTTAGCGTAATGTCCTCCAGGGTCACCCATTTTGAATAATATTGCATGAGTTCCTTGTTTTTCAATGTGGCATAGTATTCCAATGTGTAAATATCCAGCTTCTCTATCCATTGGTTTGTTGATGGGCACTTGGGTTGTTTTCAACTCCTTGCTATTGTGAACAAAGCCGCAATAAATCTGGTGTCGTTTTTACAGTCTATTCTGACATCCATTGATGACCTTTGGCTTTTTTCCTAGATGTTATCTTTGATGTCATCCCACAACTCTTCTCATCTGGTCTTTGGTCATTTGTGGTTTTTATGTATCATATTCTTGACATGGTCAAGAAATCAAAAGACATGTTCCATTGGGGAGATCTGCTATTAAGGACCTCTGCATAGTATTAAAGAGCATTATAAGTTAAAGGCTATGGTGTATGTGACCCAAGCCATTGTCTTTTTAATTGCTTCTTATGCATCTGGAAGTTAGACAGTAAATAAGGATGATGGAAGAATTGATGCCTTTGCACTGTGGTATTGGAGAAGAATACTGAATATCCTATGTACTGCCCAAAGATATTTCTTGGAGGAAGTGCGAACAGTGTGCTCCTTAGAAGCAAGGATGGTGAAATTCTATCTCACATACTTTAGGCATGAGGTCAGGAGGGACCAGTCTTTGGAAAAAGACATGATGCTGGGAATGTTGTCATGTGTTGACAACTGAGATTGTAACAATGAGGTCAGGCATCCTGGAGATTGTGAAAGTCATACAACCTAGGGTAAAGCTCAGATCTGCAATTCAGGATCGTTAGAAATTCTAGTTTACTTCTGGGCACAAAACAGCAATGACATATATAGACAAATGACAAATCATGTGACACAAATTAGCAAGTTAATGTCCTATGATTATAAACAGCCTTTTTTTTTCTTAACTTGCCTTGCAAATACTAGCCTCGTTCACTTTCTGAAAGTCTTTCTGTTTTTATTCGGAACAAATAAACATTGTAGTTTGTACATATGCTTGCATATAAAGTGATATGTGCATATACATAGAACAATATTTTATAACACTGGTTACACCATGTTCTTAATTTTTAAACATATCCCTATCAGTATAATACATATGAAAGTTGGGGAAATGACATAGTCAAGAGATTTGAAAACCTTAGGAGAATCTTTGTTTGAATGGCTACACATTAAAAGAAGATAAGAGTATTTTGCAGAAGGAATAAAGTCATGGGAAAGAGATAAGAAATTCATACCCAAAAATATATGAATTCTAGCATATTTTGCCTACAGTGAAAAGGTTCATACAGTTGGGAACAGATGTGAAAGATCGTTTAAACAAGAAATTTTGTGCTAGAAGGTAAAGAAATTCTAATTTGAGAACATAGCTTTTAGAGTATCACAGAGTAATTTTATATGGAATATTTCAGTATAGATTTATAAAATATGCCTTCAAATCTTTTTTAGATGAATGGTTTTCTCTATAAAGTAATGTGATCCCTTGAACCTAGCCCCTGAAGATTATAAAGAATTTGGAGCCTTTGTTGAAGTTGAAGGAATATGCTTTAGGAAATTCCTTGTTAATCACAAAATCAGTTCTGTCTGGTCACTGATGCCCATGGGAAGTGCAGTAGAATTCTTCTAAATGCTTTTAGCAGAAAAAGTGAAAGTTTTTGCAGAATGGAGTTGTGCAGCATTTCCTGATGGTAAACCAAGGACTCTGTGACTACTCCTCTTTCAGCAGGACTATCTTTATCCCCTAACTCATTTAACCTTAGAAGCACCTCTGAGAGTTTTATGAGGTAAATTGCTGGACTAGTTCCCTAAGGAAGAGAAATGGATACAGAGCGATGTGGGGAGAAGCATTAGCTGTAAGTTACATATTTAGAGGCTAATCAGCACAGAGGAAGCTCTGGTAAGTAGTTTCACTGCAGCCCAAAAAGCAGGCAGTTCAAATCCTCCACCCATTCCTTGGGAGAGAGATGGGCAGTCTCCTCCTGTATAATTTACAGCCTCTGAAACTCCACTGCAAGGTCAATTATAAGTCTGTTCAACAGCCCGTAACAACAGTAGTCAACACAGAACTAAATGGAGACGTTGTTCAAAAGCACCTTATAAACAAGAGGATTTTCCAGGATAATAATATTTAGGCAGCATCAGTGAAAACAATTTATACAAGCCAATGTATTAAACCTTTGTAGGAAACAAAAAGTTCCCTGGAGACAAGTCCATTTTCCTTAGATCAGCATTATCAGGAAAACCTAGAAAGGCTTAAGTACCAATTAAGAAACGTAAGAAGGGATCAATTTCACTAGTATCCATCTCCATGCCCCTGTTTTCTCTAAGCAAAAAATTGATATAACTTTGTGCAGTGGTTAAAACTGAGGTATGTTTTCAATCTTTCTCTAAGTCAGACAGTTACCTTAAGCTTTACAAGTCAATAAAGACAAGAAAGACAAAAATCTTTGTGCATCTTGCCAGTAGCAAAGCGAACTTATAATTGGGTTGAATTTGCATTATCTTTAGCATTTATTTCAGTACCATGAGCTGCTAAGTGGTGTGAACGTATATTAATTAAGCCATTTACCAAGATAACATCAAAAATCCTTGCCCTAAAAGTACCTTTTATAGATTTTTTTTTTACTGTTTTTAGTTACTTTTTATTAAGGTATATAGAAGCAGTCACTTGCCAGTGAAAAATATCTTCTCTTATGTGTGATTAGCATGATTTTCCTATAAGTAGGCATGGTTTGCCTACTTAGGCATTTGAGGTACAACAAACTGCCTTTACAACTGTCTGGCTTTTGTTTTTTTACATCTTATTTTTGGTAGTATATAACATAGACTATGCACATAGACCGAGAGACAATTGTCAAAAAAAAACAAGGATAAATTGCATCATTTAAAGTAAAGAAAATTGTGAATTGGAGTGGTATCCATTTACCATACTTTTTAAATCTGTATGGTGAAGAAATAATTGGAAATGTTGGACTATATGAGAAAGAGCACAGTATTATGAATAAAAGTCTTGCTATGAGGAAAAACATGGTTCTGCCACTTGCAACCAGAGACCCACAATCATGAAGACAGGAATGGGAGTTTTATTATATTTACTAGCATGTAAGAGACAAGGGGTCTAAGCTTTGCAAGTCTGACTCAACAAAGGACGGTTCTACTAGGATACTTGTAGGATGAGTTAAAGGCTCACAGGGAAGCTCTCATGTTTATTCAGCACTTTTAGGAGCAAACAGTGGAGTTATCTTTAAAACAGATTATGCAAATTAGCACATGAAGTAGGTCCCCAAGATGACATCTTTCCATTAGCTGTTTAGTTATCATAGGCATGCACTATAGGTTTTCCTCTTTCAAGATACTACCTGTCTAGTTTGGTGTATAGTCATCATGGACCATGGCTTTTCAAGATGGCTGTCCTCTAGAAAGTCATACAGAGGTAATTGGTGTGGCATCTGAAAACTTGGCAGAATCAAAGGCTGTTAAGAGGGAACTTCTGGAGGTAGGTACCGAGGCTGCTAATGTTGGGCCTGGAGATGCGTTCTGGCCTTCTTGGTTTGAACTGTCTCAGGCAAGAGAATACTTTGATTCTGCTCATTTTGTAAAGAGGAGAGTAAAACGGGAAACAGAAAAGTCTGATTCAAAAGCATTGTTGTTATCAGGTGCCCTTGAGTCAAGTACAACTCATAGTAACCCTATGAACCCTATTCTATCCTGTGCCATCCTCACACTTCCTGACACACAAGAGCATATTGCAGCAGTCACCACATCAGTGCACCTGGCTGACAATCTTGCTCTCCTTCACCAACCCTCCACCCTTCCCAGCATCATGTCCTTCTCCCAAAAATAGCTCCTCCTAGCAACATGTCCAAAGTATGTGAGGCAAAGCCTTCAGTCTCTTGCCTCCACCCTTTCTAAAACATGTATTTGTTCTTTTGTTATCCATGGGATGTTCAGTTCTCTTCTCTGACACCACAGCTCAAAGGCATCAATTCTTCTGTTATCCTTATTCACTGTCAAGCTCTCAGATGCATAGCAAGTGATCATAAAGACTATGGCTTGAATCAGACATACCTTAGTTCTCAAATAGACATCATTATTCCTCATCTGCATAATGCAGGCTATTGATGAGTCTCCCTCCAACTCTGATGCCACATTCCTCTTCATAGAGTACAGCTTCTTGAATAATTTGCTCAACATACAGATTACATAGGTATATAGAGAGAATACAACCCTGACATACTCTCTTCTTAATTTTAAACTATACAGAGTTCACCTGCCGTATTTGCACAACAGCCTCCTGATCCAGGTATAGGTTCTGCATGAGCATATTTAAGTGCTCAGGAACTCCCATTCATCTCTATGTCAGCCACAACTTCTTATGATCCACAGAGTCAAATGCCTTTGCACAGTCAATAAAGCACAAATAGACATTCTTCTGGTATTCTTTACTTTCAGACAGGATCAATCTGACATCAGTAACGATATCCCTGGTGTCACGGCCTCTTCTAAATTCTCGTTGAACTTCTGGCATTTCCCTATGTATGTACTGTTTCAGACAGTGTGCTATGAGCAATATATTGAATGACCCAGAAAACATCAAAAGAAGATGGAGGGAATTCAACAGACTTACTGTACTGAAAAGCACTGATTGACACTGAAAATTTTCAGGAAATACCATCTGAACAGGAGGTAATGGTAATAAAGAAAGAACTGGAAGGTACATTGAAGGCACTGGCAAAAAATAAAGCCCCAGCCATCAATGGGATACCAAATTACTTGTTTCCGTTAACAGATGCAGCCTTGAATGCACTCTCCAGTCTGTGCCAGGAAATTTGGAGAACAGTAGTGTTGCCAGTGCATTGGAAGAGGTCCATATTTGTTCCCATTCTCAAGAAGGGTGAAATAACTGAATGTGAAAACTATTGAACAATGTCATTAATATCACATGCAAGCAAAATACTACTGAAGATCATTAAAAGACAGCTGGAATAGTACATAGATTCAAAGCATAACTAGCAGTAATTCAGCTAAAGTTTAAAATTATGTTTTCATTTCCATTCATTGAAAGGCCAATTTTGATACAAGGTCAAAAAGTATTATTATTTTAACAGAAAGGAAGTGTTGCAAGGTGAAGAAGTGGACATTAGCAAATGATTTCTACTTGATAAGAAAGTCTTCCTCAAAATTGTCCTCCTAATTATGGCTGATGTGAGAAGAATGGGAATTCTAGAACATTTAATTGTACTCTTGCAAAACCTACACCTAGAGTAAGAGGCTATTGTACAAACAGAGCAAGGGAACATTGCGTGGTTTAAAATTAGGAAAGATGTGTGTCAGGATTGTTTATTTCCTTTCTCCATACCTATTCAATCTGTATGCTGAGCAAATTATTCAAGAATTTTGACTCTGTGAAGAAAAACATGGCATCAAGATTGGAGGAAGACTCATCAATAACCTTCATTATGCAAATGACACAACCTTGCTTGCTGGAAGTGAGGAGGACTTGAAGGTTAAGCACTACAGCCTTCAAAATGGATTGCATCTTAAAAATTAAATACTATGCAGCATTCAGGAGCAATGGTTTAAAAAATACTGCCTAAATGGGGAGAGGTTGGAAAGCATTATGCTGAGTGAACTAATGAACCAACGCAATCTCATAAGGACAATTATTGCAAAAAAAAGGGATAACTGGTAAAACATGTATGGGAACTCAAGTGTGGGGAGGGGTGGGGATGAGAGTGGAAGCATAATTATAGTTGGAGGTGAAACCACATGGTTGCACATTTGGTTGGTGGAGAGAGAGGAGAAAGGGAATGGGAAGGATCCAGGTGAAAAGACAGGGTAATGACAGGCAAAGTCCAATGGTGATTAATTTTATAACACATGATGGATGAGAATGATTGTATGAAACACAATTATGAATGAAAACTACTGTGAAACTCAATGTGTATGAACTTCGTAAGCACACAAATAAAGAATAAAATGGATTGCATCTCAATATCAAGAAAACAAAAATCCTCACCACTGGACTGATAAGCAACATCCTGGTGGCGAGAAGATATGAAGAAAAATGAAAGAAAAGATGGTTTTGTTAAAAAAGATATGTCCCTGAGAGCAAATGGGTCATTTCTCCCAAAGTAAAGAAGTGGAGAAAAAACAATGGGCCACCATATATACTGGGTAATATAGGAGTTTGGGCATGCTTCTGGGCTTGAATCTGAGCCAATGGGATTGGTAGGTGTAAAGACCCAGAAATGGTACCGTAGGTATAATATTCAATTAGTGGATTTAGAGTAGCTAACAAAAGACATTTTTGCATTGAAAATGCCAAAAAGTGATGATGAG